GAGATACGTTCAGTTGTAACAAACTTACTAACATTACAAATATGTCAATGACTATCTGCTTCCTTTGTTTCTGATAACAAAACCGATACAATTTCTGTTTCAACATTAAACCAATAATATCTGAATTCATGACACCTACCACATTTTTTTATCGGTTTCAAATATGATTCCGACAACTATCAGATTCTGCAATACCCCTGACTATTTGTGTTACAACATTTCTCCATAAGAACGATTACTTAAGCATTCGTTAATCTCATTGCCTTTAGATAAGCGAAGAATGGCCGGGCTGTTGGCAATCCCAGACAGTGGTTAGACAGTACCATCGAAAACTTCATCGTTGTTTCTAAATCTTGCCTTGTTCCGTGCAATGCTACGAGAATATTTGTGAGCTATTATGTACTCAGCTTAAATTCCAATTGAAAACGGTGGTCACGGAACGATAGGAGTTGAGTTTTTTGTTTTATTGCGAAGAACCAATGCAGTATGACATGGTGATTGAGGCTTGACGCGTTTGAGACACAAAACATTCTTCAAAATGGTTTGAGCTGAGCCAAATGATATTTCAACAGCGAAGATTCTAATTATCAATCTCGACGAAGAACCAAATCTTTGCTTTTTTGGATGTGGCCCTCGTCGGTAGAGATTGATGGTCATTCAGAGCGCGGTTCAGCCACATTCGGTATCTGGGGTCTTGAAAGGTTATAGTCCGATCTCGACAATTTTATACCCAAGATGGAATACTTAATAAGCACTATTACAGTAAAGTCATTGCCTTTTGATTTATAACTTGTAATATGGGAAGTAAGCGGGCTTGTCGCCAAATTTCGCTGATTTTTAAAATATAACATAAGAATACCAAAGTTAGTTCAAATTGGTCAGATTGTTTCTAAGGCATAGGATTTCACCTAAAAGTGGGCTTATTGTCCAATTTTCGCACTTTTAGTAATTTTCAACGTAACCGTTATAAGGGGGTTGGAGGTTTTTCACCCGATTTGACTTATTTCCACTGTGAAAGAGGAGGTACCAAAAAGATTTGTCTTGACCGAATTCGGCTAATATAACCTTAAGAGTTTGTGAGATATGAACATTAAACTTAAGGTTGTGTAGTACAGTTACGCCCAAGTAGAATATCGAAATTTTATGGTGCCAAGGCAAATGTGTATCAAGCTAAGATACAGACAACCGTTTGGTGAACAAAACTATAATGATTAAAAATAAATGATGCAGATAACAGCTACCGAGCAGATTTCGACACTAATTATTTGATACTCGTAATATACTCAATTGTCTGCGAAAGCTAGACGATATTATATCGCAAAGATCAATTTTGGTATGTCAATTCGCACAATTATATGGGTTATGTCCATCTTAAGATTTATTCACACTTTCGTGAGATATGACTTAAAAGAATTTTCAGCCGCTTTATTATGTTAAAAGTAGGACAGGGACTTAGAATAGTAACCGACGAATTAGGGGATATAATGGGTATGTGCTGATATGGAAATTCTGCAGAAGGATATAGGTACATATACAATATATACATGAGGTGTGTTCAAAGGAAAAGGTGAGTTTTAAATATTTTTTGAAAATTACTATATTCATCAATATCTATTTTGTCCCTTTTAAAGTAGTCCCCTTTGGATATAATGCACTTATGCCAACGCTTTTTCCAATCCTCGAAGCTCTTCTGAAATGCGCTTTTCGGTATGGCCATCAGCTCTTTCTTCGATTCTGACTCATCTCATCTGGCAGCTTCCATTGGGATGATTGGGCCTTGGTTTCGACGTCATAATCATATACCCACGATTCGTAACCAGTTATGACCGTTTGAACAAACCCGGATCGTTGTTGACGTCATTCAACAACTCCTAAGCGATACTAATGCGACATTGCTTTTGCTCAGAATTTAGCAATTTCGGAACAAACTTCACTGCCAACTGTTTCATGCCCAAAACATTCGAAAAAATTGAATGGCATTAGCCGATTGATATGCCAACATCCTCTGCAACTTCGCTAATATTGATTCGAAAATTTTCAATAACCATTTTTTTCACTGTTTTCATGTTTTCTTCGCTTGTTGGCGTGGTCGCACCTCCAGGATGCTCATCATCATCAACATGTTCTCGGCCTTATGTGAAGCGCTTGTACCACTTATAAACATTTTTTAAGACAAAGTGGACTCACCGAATGCCGCAGTCAACACTTCAAGTACTTTGGTGTACTTTATTCCATTTGTAACGCAAAATTTAATACAAATTCTTTGATCTATTTCTTTCGTAAAGCCAAAGCACAACTTTTAGTATGAGGCTCCACCGCTACCCAATAGCTCCATTACAGCAATATAGGGTAACCAGTGCCTTCTTTACCCTCTCTTCAACATTGTGCTTCCATGATAGCTTTCTATCAAGGATAAGACCCAGGTACTTCCCCTTTTCGACGGGGTGAAATTGAGAGCCCCAATGAGAGAAGAGGTGCCTTTGAAATTGTATACTTCCTCGTGAATAAAACCAGTTGACGATTCCACCTCGCACCGTAACCCTGCTCTCGCCGGCTGATGGCAGGATTCTGCCAACTCCCCCTGTCTTATCCCCTCCACCCTCCTGAAGGTACCTGCGTTCTTACTTTTCCGGAAGACGGTTCAGCTTTCCCAGGTAGTGACCGCCCGCCTGACTCTTCGTCCATTTTGAAGAGGTCGATTCCGACCTACTTCTTCCCACGTCCGTTTTTGTGTAGTTACTAGTTTCCATGCTATGAGGGTCCCCACTCAGAGGCGCTATCCACCTCCCGGAAAGGTAGTCGCGTCATTTGGCGTTAACCAGGAAGCACCTGCTTTACATCCCAAAAAAGTGATGTATATATAAAATAATATGAATTGTTTTTGTTTCTCAAGTTGATGTCTAAATATATATAGCGGGTGATCCAAGTAGAGATACTTTTTTCAATAGCTTTTTTTTTGACAAATTACGCGTGAGTCGTGTCAAGCTGTCATATAATTTTTGTTCAGTATTGTTTGACATTACATCATGAAGAGACTTACGTTTGAATAAAGTTTACAAATTGTTTAACTTTATTACGAAAATTCACGTTCTGTAAAGAATGTGTATTACGCGCCTCGCTCAACTTATGATCAACATAATCGGCCTACTCAGCGTACTATTCGCGAAAATATAGCGGACGTAGATAAGAGTGTACACGTACCGTGGAGAGTCGACGCTCGTAGACACTCGAACTGATGTCTGGAACGACTTGGCGCATTTTACGTCGACATCTGATCTCAATTGAATGCGTACAAAATACAGATTGCGCAAGAACTCAAGCCGCTTGACATCCCAAAGCGACATCGCCAAGCTCTATGGGCTCTTGATGAGCTCCAAGAAGATCCGAAGTTTTCGAGCCAAATTTTGTTCAGCGATGAGGCCCATTTCTGGCTCAATAGGTACGTAAATAAGCAAAATTTCCGCATTTGGGACGAAGGGCAACCTGAAGATATTCAAGAGCTGTCATTACATCCAGAAAAAACAAAGGTTTGGTGTGGTTTGCGGGCCGGTAGAATTATCGGTCCATATTTCTTTAAAAATGATGCCACTGAGAACGTAACCGTAAATGGCGACCGTTATCGCGCTTCAGTGAGCAGTTAATTTTACGTTTTGGGCCGGCCAGTTGGCCACCAAAACCGTGTGATATCACATCGTTAGATTTTTTTCTTTGGGGATATGTAAAGTCTAAAGTCTTTGCGGTCAATCTCGCATCGATTCAGGAATGGAAGAAAAACATCATGCGTGTTAGTCGCTAGTTACCCGTCGAAATGCTCGAACATCTGAAACGTAGCTGCGGTCAACATTTGAAAGAGATAATCTTCAAAAAATAAATGCCAAGGAATGTTCTTAAGAATTATAATAAACATTTCCCATTGCATTTGAATTTTCTGTATCTGTTTCTTTAAAAAAGTAGGGTACTTCAAAATGGATCACCCCATATATGTAAATATATTGTCTTGTTATTGTTTCTTTTATATTTTCCGTTTAAAATTAAAAATATTGTTGAAATATTACAAGGTGCAATTCAAAAGTTTCAGGACTTTTATTAAAAAACGAATATTATTATGTGTTTTTTTTTGAAAAATTTATTGGTCGCCTTCAAAATAGTCTCCTTCCGCCTGAATACAACGTTTTGCACGTTCAAGAAGGTTATCGAATGACTTTTTTAGGTCATTTGTCGGTATAGCGTTGAGGATGGCGGTCGTCGCTTTTTGGATGGCATCAACGTCAGCATAGTGGTTTCCACGGTGCCATATCAGGTGAATACGGGGAGTGGTTGATTGTTAAAATTTGATTTTTGGTCAAATAATCGGCCACATGCGTCGATCAATGAGACGGCGCATTATCGTGCCACAAACGCCAACTTCCATCTCCGAATGCGACGAATACGTGCTACCAAAAACTCCAAGGTAGAATAACGCATTAACGTTTTGGCCGGGTGGAACAAATTCTTTGTGGACAATACCCTTGGAATCATAAAAACAAATCAGCATTGTCTTCACTTTTGACTTCTCCAGGCGCGATTTTTTGGGTTTCGACTCATTTATGTTCTCACGACCACTTCGAAAACGTTTAACCACTCGTGAATAGGGCTACGGGATAGACAATCATCGCCATTAACTTGTTTCATCATTTGATGACTTTTGGTAAAAGTTTTACCAAGTTTAAAACAAAACTTAATGTTGGCTCTTTGTTCGATGCTCATTTTCCGAAAGACACTACAAATGTAATGTAGCGCGATAACTTCACTTCCAATGGATGAAATTTCATGAAATTTTTAATGGAAGTCGATAAAGGATAGCAGATTCTAACGCACTAGTCTATATGTCGACTACTGGCGCCACTAGAGTTTGCTTTGTTACTTATGTCCTGTTTACTTTGGAACGCACCTTGTATTACTTAACGCTAAATAATAAATACTTAAAGTGTACACATGTTTTTTTTTTATTGATTACGTAGGTCAATTAAACGGGTTTGCTGTAATTGAACGAATTGTTCAATTAAACGAGTGTCGGTTAATTGACAGTGAAAAATAAAGCTATGGAACAATTATCGAGATCTGATTCTCGGTAAGTAAACGTTACATATATTATATTTAACGTTTGTAAATATTTTAATTACAATTTTGTGTAATATAATTATAATTATTTACGACGTATATCACATAATATTTAATTTATTAGGTTAAGTGCAACCGAAAGGAATAAGTACTTGAGGAAACTATTTGGAGAACACGACAGTGATTCGAGTAGAGTTTCTGATAGCGATGACAAGGACTCGATTCCAGCAAATAGAGCTAGACATCAAAATCAACAAGGTAATTCAGTGCGTAACGAACCAGAAGATTCTGAAGATACAGAAGAAATCGTTAAAGAGAATTCAGCAGTAGGAGAAGAAGTAGTTAAGAGCAGCAAAAGTAAAGATGATGACAATAAAGTAGAAACAGTTGAGCCTGAAAGTAGTAAAATATTTATTCTCGCAGTACGGAAACGTTGTCAATTAGCGAGACTTTCAAAAAAATTTTAACCACGAAATGGTTGATATAATCGTCCGTCACACTAATAGAAAAGCTGAAACAATTTTCCAAGAGAACAATGCTAACCATCCAAACTCACAGCATCAATGGAAGCCCGTAACGATACCCGAAATTTATTCGTTCTTCGGTATCTTGATTTGTGCTGGAGCAAATAATTCGAATACAGATCATACATTGGAAATGTGGCACTCCAATTCTTATTCGCCGTATCGCGCGACGACGGGATTGACGAGATTCCATAATATTCTGCGTTTTTTGCGATTCGACGGTGGTAATACTCGAAGTGAACGTAAAAAAGAAGACAAGGCAGCTCCAATTCGTGATGTGTGGACAATGTTGAATTCAAATTTAGCTCAGATGTACAAACCAACAGCTAACTAGACGATTGATGAACAGCTTTATCCGTACCGTGGCCGTACTGGATTAACTCAATATATTCCATCGAAACCATTAAAGTATGGTTTAAAGATCTGGTGGATTTGTGATGCAACAAACGCATATCCTTTGCGGGATTATGTACACTAGTAAAACAGATAATACTCAAGAAAAAAATCAGGGTGAAAGAGTAGTGAAAGAATTGGCGGCTCCGTACCGAGGTAGTGGTAGAAACATCTGCATGGATAACTTCTTTACTACTGTACTAGTTGCAAAACATTTGTTGTCGTGGAATATTACCATTGTTGGCACACTAAAAAAGAATAAACCTTACATCCTAGTGTTATGGGAGCGAATAAGACACGGGAGCAGTATTCGACAGTTTTTGGATTTCACGAAAACGTAACCATGTGTTCCCACGTTCCTAAACAAAATAAAGCTGTCATTCTGATATCTACAATGCATTCAGATATATCAGTTAATGATGACGCTAAACGAAAACCAGAAATAATAAATTTGTATAACAAATAAAAAACTGGAGTTGACACAATGGACCAAATGGTGCGGAGATACACCAGTCAACGACGATCTTCGAGATAGCCAATGGCAATGTTCTTCAACATCCTAGATATTTCTTCACTTGCGGCATATATAATTTATTATGAAAATAATAAAATGATTGTCAAAAAAACGACAGAACGTCATCAATTTATGCGTAAGCTAAGTGGCCGTGATTGAACATTGCCCGTGATTGAGCATCGCACGGCGAATCCACAAGTAATGCACCACTCCTTAACAAAGATTGCCATTGAAAGTGTACTAGGCCATATAATAACAGAAACAGTCGTGATAAATCCTGGTCCAGAGACTCCAAAAGATAAAACCGGAACGAAAAAAGTAACAGGATCTTGTCATATCTGCAATGCTTTGCCAATAAGAAGACGGCGAAAGACACGTAAGGCCTGTGCCAGTTGTCACCAACTTATGTGTGACGAGCACTCAGATAATCGTGTACAATGTGTTCAATGTCATTAATTATAAAAAAAAGTGTAATATTTCTTTGTATTTTTAAAAAAATTTATTTGCATGCATTAATAAAAATTATATACAATTTTTATACTCTCGCAACATGTTCCTACAGAGTATAATAGTTTTGTTCACCTAACGATTGTTTGTATCACCTAAAACTAATTGAGTTAGATATAGGATTATGTATATATAAATGATCAGGATGAAGAGACGAGTTGAAATCCGGGTGACTGTCTGTCCGTCCGTCTGTCTGTGCAAGCTGTAACTTGAGTAAAATTTGAGATATCTTTATGAAACTTGGTACACATGTTTCTTAATACCGTAAGACGGTTGGTATTGCAGATGGGCGTCACCAGACCACTGCCACGCCCACAAAACGCCATTAATCAAAAACAAATAAATTGTCATAACTCAGCTCCGCAAAAAGATACAAGGCTGGTCTTTGGCACACAGCATCGCATTAGGAAGGGGCATCTGCGGTTAAATTTCTTTTTAAGTGCATATCTCCTAAACTGCTAAAGCTATAATAATAAAATTCACTGAGAACAAATGCTTTTAGCACTTCTATCTACGGTGTGAAAATGGGTGAAATCGAGTAACAACCCCCCCCACTCCTCATATAACGGTAATGTTAAAAACTACTGAAAGCGCGATAAATCAAGACCAAGCACTAAACACGTATGAGCTGACTTTATAGNAGCGGCGTTCGAAATTAGACAATGGGCGTGGCAACGCCCACATTTAGGTGAAACCCCATATCTTAGGATCTGCTTAACCGATTTCAATCAAATTCGGTACATAATATTCTTCCCATAGTGCGAAAATGAGCGAAAGGGGATTACAACTACGTCTCTCTCCCATATAACACCATTTTAAATTTCATCTGATTTTTTCACTTTCCAGTATACAAATCAAGCAACAATAATTTAATCGGTGTAAAACTTTGCGTGAATAATACGTTTAAAGTATGCCACCTAGTGACCAAAAACTGTCTAAATCGAGCCAAAACTATTCACGCCCCTAGGTACTGAATATGTGGACCCCAGTGCCTATAGTTAGCCTTCTACTGAAAACATCGGTCAATCCGGAAAGAAATCTCAAACGAGTATACCATTTGACTTTGCGAGAGTAAAAAAGGTTCGGTTACATCCGAACTTAGCCCTTCCTTACTTCTTTTCCTATGCTTTCCACCGTGGTACCCGGTTGCTTATGGCGATGGCTAGAGATTAAGCTTAAATTGAATTTTTTTAAGCTATTCACACAAATACTCCGCGGTGGGTACCCGGTTACTAACATAAGGGTTAAACGATATATATCTGTAGAGTGTGAAAACTTACTTGTTATATTAGACCAATATATAAGTTGTCAACTTAACTTTCTTTGCTTTTGCCTCTCTTTGTCCGAAACAATATTGTCGTGAAGTAGTGATTTGCCATATTAGCCACACACTAAAGCATGACTATGACTACCTCAAATCATATTGCGAAATGTTGCAACAGTGCCGGCAGCTTGTCAAAAATCACAAAACTATCCAATATTCTTAGTTCCCAAATTATTTCAATAAAAATAAAACAGAACAAGTAGGGAAGAGCTAAGTTAGGGTGTAAACGAACATTTTATACTTTTGCAACTTGAAAGGATCAAAGAAAGGCAAATACATTTAGATGTGCCAAAACTTTATATTAAACACGTAAGAAAGGGCTAAGTTCGGATGTAACCGAACTTTTACTCTTGCAAGGTCAAATAGTATACTGGTTTGAGATTTCTTTGTGGATTGACTGATATTTTCGGTAGAAGGTCAACTAAAGGCACTGGGGTCCACATATTTAGTACTTAGGGGCTTAAACAGTTTTGGTTCGATTTAGACAATTTTTGGCCACAAGGTGGCATACTTTAATCGCATTATTCACGCAAAGTTTTATCCCGATACGATCATTGTTGCCTGATTTGCATAGTGGAAAGTGAAAGGATCAGATGGAATTTAAAAGGGTGTTATATGGAAAGTAGGCGTGGTTGTAGTCCGATTTCGCCCATTTTCGCACTATTACATAGAAATATTAAAAAAACGTTATGCACCGAATTTGGTGGAAATTGGTGAAGCAAATCTCAAGATATGGTTTTCACCTAAAAGTGAGTTTTATTAGTTTTAACAGTACCGTTATATGGGCGGAGTTGCCACCCGATTTCAACTATTTTTACACCGTCAATAGAAGTGCTAAAAACATTTGCTTCCAGTGAATTTTGTTATTATAGCATTAGCGGTTTAGGAGATATGCACATTAAACCTATTAGAGCAGGACCACGCCCACTTAAAAAAAAAAAAATGAACTGCAGATGCCCCTCCTAATGTGATCCTGTGTACCAAATAACAGTGTATCTTATTTCGGAGCTTAGTTATGGCAATTTATTTGTTTTTGATTAATGGCGTTTTGTGGGCGGGGCAGTGGTCCGATTCCGCCCATCTGCAATACCAACCGTCTCACGGTACCAAGAAACATGTCTACCAAGTTTCATAAAGATATCTTAATTTTTACTCAAGTTAGAGCTTGCACGGACGGACGGATGGACGGACAGACAGTCACCCGGATTTCAACAAGTCTCTTCATCCTGATCATTTATATATATATAACCCTATATCGATTAGTTTTAGGTGATACAAACAACCTGTTTAAATGACTATAAACTCCCCTTCCAACTACACCGCTTCTTCAGGGTAAATAATGTCACACCCTAATACAACACACCACACCTTGGAACACAACACGCACTCACAACATAAACGACCACATTGCACACGATGTCAGCACAGAAGTTACCACCATACACGATGACACCCCACACAATCAACAAAAAGAGGGATTGGATCTTCAATTCAACACATTCGAAATAATTCCGATCTCTTTGCGCAACGTAAATGTATGAAATCGCTATCTCCGCTACCAACCGTCAAAACTTTCTGAGTTTAAAATCGTAGTATTAATTTTTATCACAAAAGTGTTAAACCAATAAAAAACTTGTGAGACATTCAATAAAAAAATAAAGAATATTTCAATTTAAACCTTAAAAAGGCGTTTGTGAAAGAAACGGGAAGTAATAATGTCAATGTTGAGTGCTAACATTATAGCATAATTATTCACAACCGTTAGGTAAACAAAACTATTATACTCTGTAGCAACAGGTTGCGAGAGTATAAAATTATTAAGTTATATTATAGGCCATAAACTCACCTAATTTTATTGCTATATTTTACTAAGGGTTAGCTAAAATACTTTGAAAATTATCTTTTACATTTTGAAGACTGCTTTTCCATCAGTTATTCGAAAAATTCACAATCTCGTTAGAGATAATTTGTGACTCTAAATAAATGTTTTTTTAATTTTATAGACCTACGTCCTTCCTGGTAGATCCTGTGGAAAATTGCTTATAAGCAACCATTGTCAATGGTGGTAATAAATGGGAGTACATTATTGTGCATTTCGAATTTTGCTTCATAAAATGTTTCCAGAAATTTTTTTATTTATTAGGTGTGGTTTGAAAAGAAAAAAAATTTCATTTGGATAATCGCACAAGTGAACTGTCTGTAGTGTCTCCGCCATTTCGATTTGAAAGTATATAAGCTTCAGTTTGCCAGCAGATTTTGATGACTTGAAATGGCTACGATAAAGAAGTCAAGCATTTACCACAGCTGCTCCAATGCACTAATAGACAATGCGCATGTAGGACCTTTTTGACTGGTGTTTAATTTTTTATAACTCCATAAGCATTTCTCATAAATCAACGTGACGCCTATAGCTTTCTACTATTGCTAGTCGTAGAATACCTAAACTTTACCACTTACCTTTTTATCCTCATAACTGTTTTGATCGCCATATTCCATCAAGTTTTCCAATAATGCCGCTTCTATCTCTTCTCCTCTTTCTAAAATATGTTCAAGCGCATCTTTCAAAACTTCGACGTCATCATCACCAAGCTCATCTTCGTCAGACGACCAGTCGAAATTCCCCATAGGTTCAGTTTCAAAATCAGCCAGCGTTTTCTCACGTGAAAGCTTTTCTGCAAACCAGTTTTATTGTTTACGTACACTAAGGACTGATGTTGTTTATAAGCAAATCCGAACTTTAAAAAAATCTAGCTCCTCAACGCCGCAACTGTAGCTCCCAAGTTATATATAGATATATAAACTTCAGTTCTCTTCACTTTCAGTCTTTTAAAATTTTTTGAAAATGAACCAAATCAACTACATGTTTGCGATTCTCACATTTTAGAAATTACTTACAGCCGCAAAGTTAAAAGTTGATTATAACAAATGTTTTAAAAGGGTTAAATGAGAAACATGGTATGTGATATAAACTCAATGAACAGGCTAAATTTAATATATTGAGTTGATGTGGAAAACGCAACTTATATTAGGTATATGAGGTTTAGACCACCAGCTTCTTACATATTCAGCGCTAAACCACATAATTTAAATTTAATTTCATTAAAATATCACACATTTTGGTTTAAACGGCTTAAAGTCAGCTGAAATTTCAGAAATCACTATACAAGATATATTGGGACGGAGAAGACAAGCCTGGGCTTGTGGCATTAACCTTTGCATTGGTGAGGTATACTCAAGAACACATATTTAAGCAATTTATAATCGGCATAAGACCGATTCAACCCATTTTTGACACACAGACAAAATTTTATCTGGAAATGGTTCTCTCCGAATTTCAATTATAAGGTATATCTTACACATTGTAAAAAGTCAGCTATAAACACTGGAGTTCACAACTTCGGTATTCTGAGGATTAAACAGTTATGATCCGATTTTGACAACATTTAGACTTGAGACGCCATACTTTAAAGGCACTATTTATGCAAAGGTTAATGCCAATATATTCATTAGTGGTTGATGTGTATACTGGAATGTGAAAAATTCAGATAGAATTTAAAGTTGTGTTACATGGAAAGTAGTCGCGGTTGTGGCCAGATTTCGCCCATTTTCGCACCGTAAGATAAGAAGGTCAAGATAATGTCACCTGGCTGGCCAAGGTGGGCGGTGCACAACTCATCCAA